GGTTTAGGGTTTAGGTTTTAGGGTTCAGGATTAGGTTTTAGGATTAAGGTTTAAGGTTTAGGGTTTAGGATTACGGTTTAAGGTTTAGGCTTTTTGGCCCCGTCGTGGTCGGTGTGACCACCGCCACAGGACAAAGTTTCTGCATCAGAATTCGCGACACTGGTCGTGGCCGATGTGACCACCGTCACAGGGCAAAGTTTTTGCATCAGAATGCGCGACACTGGAGATTTCATTGGATTTTTCTTTTGACCCAGCCCTTGCGGATATTTTCCCTTGTGGAGGTTGTTGCTACGACTTGTGCGGAAGCGTGAAAGTTATGAGAAACCGTTCAGTTTTCACGGCAGCAGGTGCTGCGGGTGAATCCGAATCCGGCTCCACAAATACAGAAGGAACCAAGAGACGTTCATCCAAAAAGACCTGGACCTTGGAAAAACCGTTCTCTGACAATCCCATGATGGCTTCCTTGCACATGTCTTGAAAATGTAGGCTCAGGGAGTCATTTAGTCATATCGCCGAAGTCATATAGCCGAATCTAAGACCCCACACCCAAAGCCATCCTAAACCTTTCACCTTTAGACCCAAATCAAGCATCCGAAGCCCTCAGTCCTAAAATCCTGAACCCTAAAACGCTATACCCAAAGCTCCAAAACCTAGAACCCTAAAGCCCTAAACCCTAGATCCCAAAACTGAAAACATCCTACGACCTTGGCTTCCCCAGCAGACCCTATGCCACTCTTGAAAAGGGAACCCTGTAATAGAACCCTAGTACAAGTTAACTTAAGAGCTCCAAAATCCTAAGACGACTCTCTTTGAATGCCAGGCTAGATTCCCTAAACCCTAAACCCCCGAACCCCAAATCCTGAAACCATTCTTTCTTAGTGGCTGAGTAGGTAACCTTTAACCTTTTGGTGTCGAAAAGATCCTACCATGTTTGATAAGGTTATATAACCGTTTTGGGGGCTAGGGTAGGGTCTTTTGCGAGATGTATTTATAGGGGTAGGGCTCCTTTAAGGGGTCTGTAGGGGCTAGGGTACTCAGGCCCTACTTGGAGGCCCAGGGACTTAGCAAGTAGGTTATAAGTAGAGTGCCCTAAATGGAGTTACCGAAGTCATAACCCCATGTATACCCGACTTACTAAGTTCCCTTGGCCTCCAAGTAGACCCTAAACCCTATACCCCAAACCCCCAAACCGCTTAAACCCCTAAACCCTAAACCCTTAAACCCCTAAACCCCTAAACCCTAAACCACAAATCCCACTATAAGTCCCCTGCGCTTCTAAGTGGGGTACTCAGCATCTAAGGGTTCTTTTACCTGATCTCAAAGGGAATTCTTTGAAGGATCCTTTGCCAGGGGATCCCCCTTATTCCCTTCTTGTAGTCCTAGGTTCCTTATAAAGATACCCAATACCAAAAAGGGAGCCCTTTTATTCCTAGGTTACCGGGCATGCTAGTTTAAGGGCCCAAAGGGTCCTGTGCACTGTTACGGGGGATACTTCCCTAAGTCATCATAGTAATTCCTCATATGGAAACCGGTACATAGGACCCTTTCGGGGGATCTATAAACCCCTAAACCCCTAAACCCCAAACCCTAAAGCCTAAAACCCTAAAACCTAATCCGACCAAGTCCCCTTTTTATTCCTAGGTTACTGGGCATCCTAGTTTAAGGGATCTATCCCTAAAAAACCAACAGAGCCCTTGGGCCTTGATACATGAGTCCTTAGATCCCTAGGCATACATGCTTTGGCCCTCAAGTACCTATATTCAAAGGACTACTTTATGGCCAAAGTATATGCTATATATAAGTAGGGCATGTCTTATAATAAACCCAAAGACCCATCTCCCAAAGCAATAGCATGATTAAGGTATATTCCTTATAATATGATTAAGGTATATTCCTCAATTCCCTTATTGTAGAACCCTGTGGGGGGATCTATCTCAAGGGATCAAAATAGCACAAAAGCCTTATATAGTATGGTCTTTGGGCCCAAAAGCCTTAAAATACGAGTCCTAAGATCCCTAGGGTATAACATCATTAAGGTATATTCCTGAATTCCCTTATTATAGAACCCTTTGGGGGATCTATAGAGGTACACTAGCTAAGTACAGTCCTTTAAGGGGCCCTATAGATCCCTTTAAGGAGCCCTTCAAGAACCCTAAACCATCTACAGGGAACTCCAGAAAGTTGGAATATGGTTTCATGGTAGGATACCCTATAATTTACCATAGAAGGGTTAGGATAATCATATTCCAACTTTCTGGCTTCTACCGTATCGGGGTACCCTAGGCCCTTAGGGATTGAAATGCCAGGCGAGGCCTCCTCCGCCTCGAGCTCCGGAGGCTCCGTCGCAGCAGATCTTCAAGACGGGCTTTAGGGTTTGAAGGGCCTATATGGGGTTCCTTTAAGGGATCTAGAGGGTTTGGGGGAGTTTAGAGTTGATTTAGGGGTTTAGGAGTTTAGGGATCCAGGGTTTAAGGAGTTTAGGGTTTCGAAGGTTTAGGGTTCAGGTTATAGGCGGGGTTTAGGGTGTAGAAGGTTTAGGGTTTAGGTTATAGGGGGGTTGGGGCAGAGGAGTTTAGGGGGTGTAGGGATTGAGGGGCGTAGGGGGTTTAGGGGTTTAGGGTTTAGGGGGTTTAGGGTTTTGGTTTTGGGGGTTTAGTGGTTTAGAGAGTTTAGGGGGGGTTGAGGATTTAGTTCAGGGTTTAGGGGGGTTAAGGCTTTAGGGGGTTTAGGGTGTTGTAGCTAGCATTGAGGGCCCATGTGAGAGCTTTAAGGTTTCGGGCTTTGAGTTTAGAGTTTAGTCTGAGTCCGAGGTTTCGAAGTTGCGGCGGGACAACATGCTGATGCAAGCATGCGATACGTGGGTTACCCCCGATTCTTGTGGAACCCCACCCACTTCGCACACACTGTATACACACCCTATGCCAAGCCCCTTAAACCCAAAATCCTAGACCCCAAACCCTAAACCCTAAACACAAAACCCCAAACTTCAAACCCTGAACCCCAAACCCCCAACTCTGAACCCCAAGCAAACAGGTGCTGGAAGAGTCTCCTCCGTTGCCCCCACCCGCAGAGGCATGGCTATAGGGTGGTTCAAGGGGGGAGGGTATAAGGAATCCTTAGGGGACTGTAAGGGAACCTTAGGGAGTACTGGGGAGAATTAGGGATCACTAGGCTATATACCCCCCTTGGACCCCCCTCCCTTAAGGATACTACAACATGGCTTATAGTCGGGAGTTTACGAGGCTCCAGGGTTGCTAGGCTAGGGTTTAGGGTTTAGGGTTTAGGGTTTAGGGTTTAGGGTTAGGGGTTTGGGTTTGGCAGGAATTGGGAGTTTCCGAAAACTACTATTTGGGGTACTATAGTAGGGCCCTCTATTTCCGAAAACTCCCAATAATTCTCTGTTTCCCGGTCAATGCGATAGATAGACTAATTCCATCCCTCGATCCTGGGCCATGGACCCTCAACCTAAACCGAGAGAGCATCACACACAACAGCCCGGCTCCGTGTCAAAACCTCCAACTCCAGGCTACACGCTTATACTACAAAAGGGCATTTTCCGAAAATTAGGGGTACCTTATTTCGGGGTCCTTATAATGAGTCCTACTATGTGGGGAACTATATTAGGGTCCCCGATTCTCGGAAACTCCCAAATGACCCCAGAGCCCCTTTCGAATCATCAAGGCCCCTGGGAGTAGTGTAGGAGTTTCCGAAAAAAGGAGATCCTAATCTAGGATGCCCAGTAGTACCCTTATTCCCTTTTTGTTGTCCTAGGTTCCTTAAAAGTTTCCCAATACCAAAAAGAGATTCCTTTTTATTCTTAGAATACTGGGTATCCTAGTAATATAATACCCCTAAGCAGTAGGATCCTTATGAAAAGGACATCAAAATAAGGTACCCCTGATTTGCAGAAACTCCCGTGCGATCTTAGATGCCTTGCCCTTCTTGGGAGGCGCCACCCTGTTCACCTCGGATGGCTGAGGTGCTGGATCGGATTGGGGCTTGTAGAGTTCCCTAAGGCTCCATGCAGCCATATACTATACACTTAGGCCTTAAAGTGCTTGCATAGGAGCCCCTTGAAGGCCTCAGTATATGCTATATGGGTACATGGAGCCTCAGGTTTAGGGTTATGTTAGGGGTTTAAGTTGATCAGGGTTTAGGGTTATTAGGGTTTCGCAGCAAGGCGATTAACAGTTTAGGTGGGTTTAAGGTTCAGGGTAATTCTTCCGGTGTTTGTCATGCGGCAACCCTGAAAATTTCTGGTAGGGATTTCGTTGGGTGTACATCGGCCGCAGTGTGAGATTCCCTTTGAGTACCAGTGACTGCATGTTTGGGGTGTTCCTGCACGACGTCTGGTCTAGCAGTAACCATCTTACTTCCCATGAAGCTCTCCAAGGCACCACGACGGGCCGACGGCTTAGTCCAAACCTTAGCTTAAGTGCTAGTTGTATCCTGAACACCTTAACTCAAGCTTAGAAGTTGCAGGCTTCAGAAAGACAACACCAGCCCCGCTGCACAAGCATGTGGAACCTCTTACTATTTTGGGGGTTCCTCAGTCGAATTATAGTATAATGGGCACCAAACTCCTATTCTAATAGTCAAGGTCCCTACATTAAACGCCCGAAACCCTAAACCCTAAACCCTAAACCCTAGACCCTAAACCCTAAACCCTAGACCCTAAACCCTAAACCCTAAACCCTAGACCCTAAACCCTAAACCCTAAACCCTAGACCCTAAACCCTAAATGTGAATCCCTGTGAAAGGCGAGCGTCGCTGCCGACCGGATCAAGGCACATGGGTAGTCCAGTGGAAAAGAGTTTTGCCCCTGTGGGGCCACGGTCGTCCGTCGGTCTGTCTGGTCTGTTGGTTTGTGTTGGGTTTTGCATTGGTAGCGGAGCCCGAGCCGCGGTCTCGGGCAGTTCGGTTTGTCTGTCGGTGTGTTGGGTTTTCAGGGTCGTGTCTGACCGTCTTTTTGTCCTCCTAGCATAGCTAGTTTTTGTCCAATGGCTACACCTGAGCCTGCGCCCGCTGACCCGTGGTCGAGCTGGCAGCCTCAGACAGCATCCGGCGACCATCAGCCTGCTGAAGTAGAAGCCCCGGGTCATGCTCCATTACCCGATCCGCCGCAAGGTGAAGACCAGCAGACGAGTGGTCCGGCGCCAGACCAAGGTAGCGATTCTCCGGAATGGCATGGGAGAGACTGGCGACAGCGAAGCTGGACTGAGCACGATGAGAATGCAGACTGGGGAGCTGCCCATTGGGGTCGGCAGCAATCCTGGTCATACCACGAGTGGAACCACAGGTACCCGGAGGACAGCCACACCTGGCATAGACACTCCGGCGACTGGACCGGGACTACCGGGTCTACACGGGACTCCGACCATGGCTCGGACACGCAGTGGCCAGGCCGCTGGTCGGGCACCGAGGCCCCGCGCACGACTTCTACCTGGACTCCAGACAGTGCCCCTACGGGAACTTCGAATGGCGATGAGTGGGAGACCAGGAAGGCCCATATCTCAGAGCGTATGGCAGTGCCTTCATTCTCTGCCGAGGCCACTGGCGACGACCTCGGTGCCAGTGCACGGTCATATTTGAGGCAAATAGATGCATGGATCAAAGTGACCAGGACCCCACAGCACCAACAAGCCCTTCTCCTCTACCAGCACCTGCAAGGACGCGCCTGGGTCGAGTCCGAAGAACTCTCGGTCGAGCGCCTCGCATCGGACCAGGGGGTCACAGTGTTTAGGCAGTGGGTGCAAGAGCGCTATCAAGAAGTTGAGGTCTCAAAAGTTGCCGAGGCCCTGACCCACTTCTTCCGGAAACTACGAAGAGGGCCACAGCAGAGCATCAGAGAGTTCAACTCCTCTTACGATAGGGCCCACACCCGACTACTTGAGATAGATTGCCGACTACCTGAAGTTGCTCGGGCATGGGCGTACCTCAACGGCTTGGGCCTCTCGCAGAGCGAGGAGCTCGGCATCCTGGCTTCTGTCGGCAACGAGTACAACACGACCAGGCTGCAGCGGGCTGCGATCCTACATGAGAAGAGCCTCAAGGGTCACTGGCAGTATCGCCGGGGACAAACTGGCGACGACGCTCGCCGAGGCGGGGTCTACAAGAATGCGAAGGGTGCCTACGTGACAGAGCACAACGAGGACTCGGATGGCGAGGTGAACTCGACTGGGGGCGACGAGCTGCCCGAGGAGGAGGCAGCGGAGTTGCACGAGGCCTACATGGCGCAGGAGAGCGCCAAAGCGAAATACCGCGAGATCGCAAAGGCCCGGGGAATCAACCCCGATCTTGTGAAGAACGACGGGAAGACCCCAGGCGAGAAGCTCCAGATCGCGAAGTCCAGAAGCTTTTGCTCAGGGTGCAAACGCAGAGGACATTGGCACAGAGATCCCGAATGTCCTTTGAATCAAGGCCGAGGTGGAGCCACAGACCGTACTGAGAATAAGGACGGCAGCGGTGCAACTAAGGAGGGCTACATCGTCCAGATTGCCTACGAGGTTGGCGACAATGGAGACCGTGACGGGCTCTACGCGATCACAGACTGTGCCTGCAGCAAGACCGTCGCCGGACAGCGATGGATCCAGGACTACATCGGCAGTGCAAAGCGATCCGGCTGGGAGCCACAGCTGATCCCATGTGATGACGAGTTTCGCTTCGGAGCATCAAAGCTGTTCAAGGCCAACTACACCGCCACCATTGTCATCCACGTCGAAGACAAGAGCTTCATGGTCCGAGCAGCCGTCGTCAGTGGAGACGTGCCTCTCCTTCTTTCACGGGGAGTACTCGCCCGATTGGGGATGATCTACGACATCGAGAACCACCGAGCGGACTTCAAGAAGCTGAACATCACGAACCACAAGCTGTGCTACACCGCCAGTGGCCACCCTGCAGTGCCAGTCTCACCTGTCCAGCGCCGCGGCCTCGAATACCCTGATCCACAAGCGTGGGGGTCTCGCGAGGTGATCATCAACAGTGTGCCTGCTCCGGTATACACAGCTTTTATGACAGGGAACAGGGAAGTGAGCCTAGAGGTACAAGCCCCCGAACCACATCAAGTACTTCCAGCTACGTTGTTCTTTCCAAAGAAGGTTGATTCCGCCGTCTACAACATGTTATCAGCTGAAGCCTTCGACCCTACCGCCTTCTCCTCATGGTGGAGCACAACAAAGCACTGTAACGACTTCTGGATTGAGGGCCCTGCCGAATGGATCCGTGTTCACATCATCCCACGAAAGAACATGTTTAGCCCAGAGCATTGGAGAACTACAAACCTCGACCACAAAGCTGCTCTACTTGAACATCTAGGCTGTCTTAGAAGCACATGGGCTGTTGCATGTCAGAGCTTCAGAATGATGCCACCTCTTCATGACGCATGGCAAGGTCAACCTCCAATGCCTCTCGCCGCATTGTGGGTCGGAAGAACAGTGTTTGCGAAAGCAGCCCGCCGCCTTTCCCGCGAACCCTCGACTCATGTCCAAGGCAGCCGGCAGCAAGTCTCCATGGCAGATGACGAAGGCCGAGTTGATCCAGTGCGCCACCGACATGGGGGTGACCGTTCACTCGTCCTGGACAGCGCCCGAAATCAGATCGATCATCCAAGAACGGCGCCAGAAGAACAATACTTCAACAATCCCGAAAGGACTGTCGAGTATGACCTTGGCGGAGTTACAGGCAAAGGCCAAGGAGCTCAATGTGACGATCAACTCCCACATGGGAAAGGGCGAGATCATGAGGGCCATCAGGGACTTCACGCGGGCCCCCGACGAGGAAGTGGTGACTTTCGGGAGGTTCCGCAACTACATGTTCAAGGAAGTGCCCGAAAGCTACCTGCAATGGTCCATCCGCGAGACGACGGCGAACAAGGGGGCGAGCGACGACTTGAAGAGGCTCGCCGCATGGGCTTCGACCAGGGAGACCCCGACCATCGAGGACCCCGAGGACCACGCGAAGATCCCCTACCACCCGGATGCCGAGACGAGCTCAGTGGGAGGATCGCTGTCGAGTTGGTCGGTGGCAGATCAACGCCCGCTGCCTCCGAGTGGTTATGCAAAGGCAAAGGCCAAGGCACCCGGGCAGGGAACCAAGAAGGCTCGCGAGGAGATGGGCACACCAGCACCCATGCAGCAGGACCTGCCGCCGGAGGTCGCAGAGGAGCTCCGGGCGCTTGCTACTCGCTTGGCCACGCTGCGGGACCAGTACAACCTGGATCCCGCGCCCACTCCGCCGTGAAGGTCGAGCCCCAAGAGCAGTCGGACCGCAGCTATGAGCCGACTGCCAGTATGAGCCCTGGCTGTGAAGATGCAGGTGGGCATGACGATCGCCATTTTGGCCCATTTTTGTCGAGTCCAGGAGACCTGGACCCAATCTCTGGTCGTCCGGATGACGAGGAGATTTTCTTTGATTGCGAGCCCGAGACCCCATGGGAAAGCACTGCGTTCGAGACCGGCGAGTTCTTGGAGTGTTACGAGGCGCAGCTCCCAGATGTGAAGGCATTGGAGAAACGTGCAAAGGAGCTCCGCCAAGCTAAGGACTACAGCCCGGGAGTTTGTGAATGGTTCATCAAGAAGCTTTGTGAGTTAGCCGGGCATGTCCCCCGCCGATCGTGCCAAACAAGGGGAAAGCTCCTCGTCCTCGGCGGCTACGTTCATGGAGGAATCACTGGGGTGACCGCAAAGAGCCACGCCTTCAAGGAGGCCGCCCGCTACCTCAATGGCTACATCAAGCACCATCTACCCGGACGAGGCCGATGGACCAGCCTCTGCATCAACGTCGGCAACATGGCCGGACCCCACCGGGACTCCAACAACTACCGCCGGAGCTACAACTACACCACCTCCTTTGGCCAAAAGTCGGGTGGACGAGTGTGGATCGAACGCGGAGAACAAGAAGGTCTGGAAGGAGAACCGCACGCACTCCAGCTGGACCAGCGAGAGGCGATCCCGGGCATCTTTGTCAACACCAACGAGAAGGTCATCAAGTTCCACCCCCACCGGAAGCACTTCGTAGAGGCATGGACCGGAGAACGGGCTTCTTTGACGGGGTACGCCATCCGTAGCGTCGGGAGCCTGACCCGAGACGAGCGAGACTTTCTGCGAAGTCTCGGTTTCCCAATCACCGACAACCTTGGCAACAACGACGGCAACACCGCCTACGTGAGCGACCTGGACCAGGGCAACTGCTCCGACGAGCACGTCAAGGAGGAAGTCACTAAGCGACCAAGGAAGAGCACAAGACGAAAGCTATGGAAGAGTGCTGCGACTGCCGGTAGCATCCTCGCGCTCACCATGAACGCTGCCACCGCCTACGCGTGCGACTTCTACCCCAAACCTACTACAGGAGTGGCGCTACAGGAGGTTGGTGGCGAAGAGGAGACTTACAAAGCCGCTGAGCTGGGACACGATGTCGCCGAACCCTTCGGCAACGACGTTTGGTACAGCGAGCGGACCTACAAGGAGTTCAGTGAGAACCTCCAAAGCCTTGCCCCACGTGTTTTGTGGATTCATGCAGGAGACCACCCGGTCCTGAAGGACCGGATGAAAGACGCTGCCAACGCCCAGTTGGACCGAGGAGGAACCGTTGTGTACGAAGCCTCTGAGGGGTCCCCTTTGTGGCGGGACAGTGACTTGTTGAAGATCCAAGCCGAGAACTACTACAAGTTTGACGTGATCGGCGACGCCAGCTACTTGTGGGTGAGGCGAAGTCCATTCCGTGACCTACCACCAGTTCGGGAGATCTACGCGGCCGAGGCCAGGAGCTCCGAAGAGCCAACCGCGGTCGGGGCAAGTGCCATTTCCTTTGACAAGGTCGTCGCCCCTCACGTACAAGCGGCTCTTACACGACTGCACCAAAACCTCGGACACCCGGCGGCCACGGACCTGACTAGGCACTTGCGCCTGGCCGGGGCCAGTGAGGACATCATAAAGATCGCCAAGGGCATGCGCTGCCAGGTCTGTGCTAGGAATAAGAGAGCTTCCGCACCAAGGCCGGCATCACTCCCCTCCTTCCTCGACTTTAACCAGTTGGTCAGCGTCGATGTTTTCCACGTGTTTGACATCAACCGAAAGCGCCATGAGATGCTCTCTGTTGTGGACCACGGTACCACCTTCCATTTGGTGAAGCGACTAGAAGGGCATTCCGCCAAGAGCTTCGAGCACGCCTTCGTCGACATTTGGGCAAATACTTTTGGAGCACCGGGGTGCATAGCCGCAGACCTGGAAACCGGCTTACAGGCTGGATTGGCAAAGTACTGTGAGTTTGCCGGTGTAAAGCTACGTGCTGCAGCAGGTCAAGCACACTGGCAACAGGGAACCGTTGAACGGCATGGTCAATGGCACCAGGACATTCTCCAGAAGATCATCGACGAGCAGTCCGTCGGGGAGGACGACATTGATCTGGCCGTGACCGCGGCCAACCAGGCGAAGAACGAATTGCGTCGGAGACACGGATATTCACCATGTCAGGCCGTGTTCGGAAAAGATCCCCGGCACCCCGAGGATCTCATGGATGGGAACGACGAAGAGCGGGCTATGGAGATGATGACTGCAGATCGTAAAAGACAGAGAGAGGTTGCACTCAGGACGGCAGCTCGCACTGCCTTCTACCGTTCACAAGTTGATGTAAAGTTGAGAAAAGGACTCATCCAGAGAGCCCGTGTCAAGAAAGGGTCCTACGCCGTCGGGGAAATGGTCTGCTTCTACCGCCTCGGCAAGTCCGGGACAACCAACAAAAGGGGCCAGTGGAGAGGTCCAGGTCTTATCTTGGGCAACGATGGCGGCAACTGGTGGATAAGCTATGCCGGACGGTGCCATTTGGTGGCAGAAGAACACATGCGGCCGAGCACAGCGGAAGAGCTTGGCAGCTTGTTCTCTTCCCAGATCGCCCGTAAGGACCTCGAAACGTTGTTGTTTGCGGACCCCGACGATCCGGGCAACTATGCTACTGAAGAGGAGGAAGGGGACTGCGAAATGGAAGCCGACAACCCCGAACAGAACGAGCCGCCGTTCGAGCACGACCTTGCGAACGATGACGCCATGGCGGAGCCAGAGGTCGCCCCGCCAAGAAGCAACTACGGACCTGAAGGACGACGCCGAAGACAAAAGAGCCGGCCGCCGGGAAGCGAACCCTATGAAGCACTCATGATGAAGACCGCCACCACCGAAAGGTCCCGCGAGAAACAGCGCGAGAAAGAACTTCCGTGGCGACTCATACCCCCCGAGCAGCACCAGGCCTTCAAGGAAGCGGAGGCCAAACAGATCAAGGAACACCTGGACCACGCGGCCCTGAGTATCCTGACCTACGAGGAGACCGTTGCCGTCCTCAAGGTCACGCCCCCGGAGCGCATCCTGAATTCTAGATGGGCATACAAGGATAAGAACTACGCCAAGCGCAGAGAGAACAACGCCCTGCCCTGGAAAGCCAAGGCACGACTCATCATTGGAGGACACAAGGACCCCGATGTTGCTTCCCTTGTGACGGATGCTCCGACTGTCAACCGCCTCTCCGTCCTGATCTTGATGCAGATCCTCTCCTCACACCTTGACGACCCAGAGCCGTGGTGTGCAAGTGCAGGCGACGTCAACGCCGCATTCCTGAATGGACCACCGCTTCAGCGAACGCTGTTCATGCGACAGCCAAGGACCGGGATACCGGGAATGGAGAGAGACGCCCTCTTCAAGGTCGAGAAGGGGATATTCGGACTACCTGACTCCCCGCGAGGCTGGTGGGACGAAGTACAGAGGATCATTGACGACATCGAGATGAACCACGACAAGGAGACCTACCACCTCGTGCCGTGCGCCCTGGACCCGTGCGTCTACTACCTCGTCCCAGGACAAGACCGACGCGGCACCCCGCGAGCGTACCTGTGCATCCACGTCGACGACTTACTAGTCGTCGGGCCGAGAAAGCTCGCCGTGAAGCTGCGGGAGACCCTCAGCCAGCACCTCCCCATCGAGGAATGGGAAGAGAACAGCTTCGACTACATCGGGTCACATTTCGAGGTGAAAGAGGACTGCGTCGAGGTGACCCAGACAGCCTACGCTGCCACCCGACTTTTTACGGTCGATGTGGACAAAGCACACCGCGATCAAGAAGGAGCCACTACCGAACAGAAGACGGACAACCAAAGTCTGATTGGTGGACTTTCATGGCTGGCCGTACAGTCCCGGCCAGATCTCCAAGTGTCCGTCTCTATCGCTCAGCAGATGCAGAAAGACCCTTCTATCGAGGATGTGAGATTCACAAACTCGACATCACGGAAAGCAGTCAGCTTCAAAGACAATGGGCTGAAGTTCACCAAGATCGACCTCAATGACCCCGTGCTCATGGTGTTCCACGATTCCTCGTGGGCTAATGTCGTCCCCTTAGAAGGTGAAGATGGATTCCGCCTAAGCCGTGAAGATCACGAGAAAGGATTCATGACAGAGGTGCCCAGTGACTTCCAGGTCCGCAAAGCAAAGAGGGCTAGCACGAAGGTTGCCAGCCAGTACGGGATCCTCATCCTGGCCACCGACCAGGAGAAGCTACGAGAAGGAGGACTGTGCAACATCCTCGACTGGAAGTCTTCAACGGCAAAGCGCGTTTGCCGGTCCACCTTCGCCGCCGAGTCCATTGCGTGTTCTGAAGGGCTAGAGCAAGGGCAGTATGTGAGATCGGTCTTTATGACAATCCTCAAAGGGGAGCTGCAAAAGGTCGAAGACCTCGAAGGAAAGCACTTGAGGTGCTTCACAGACTGCCGGTCACTGTACGACCACCTTCATCGGGTTGGCGTCCCTAGGACTCCAACCGATAAACGGCTCGCAATAGACTTAGCCGCAATTCGACAAATCCTTCACCGGGAGAGGTACGCCGGTAAGCTTCCTCTTGACTGGATCCCCACCTCTTATCAATTAGCCGATGTATTGACTAAGCCGATGTGCCCTAAGAAGTGGTGGAACCAGGTCAAGGGAATTTATCGGATCCCATTCCGAAGCACCTGAGAAGGTGAAGAGATTTTCAAGCAGTGTGAATCCCTGTGAAAGGCGAGCGTCGCTGCCGACCGGATCAAGGCACATGGGTAGTCCAGTGGAAAAGAGTTTTGCCCCTGTGGGGCCACGGTCGTCCGTCGGTCTGTCTGGTCTGTTGGTTTGTGTTGGGTTTTGCACTAAACCCTAAACCCTAGACCCTAAACCCTAAACCCTAAACCCTAGACCCTAAACCCTAAACCCTAGACCCTAAACCCTAAACCCTAAACCCTAAACCCTAAACCCTAAACCGGAATCTTCAGCCTGGTTTCGGGGACTTCGGTCGAATGTCAGGCCCCGCGGCCGTCACCTCCTCGAGTTCGCGAGGCACCAGGGCATGCATCTACCATAGGGGCCGTAATAATCACCCATACTATTCTGGCGGTTCCTCATAAAAGCCTATAGTATAGTGGGCCCCAAAACCAGCCGCAAAACCCTATTCTAGTTGTAAAGGCCCCTGTGTTACAAGAGCTCTCTTGGGGCCTTTGAGCAGGGTTTCGGAGGTAGCTCAATCATGTTGCAGCGCAAGATCACCACGATCATGGGACCTAGTAACTAGGGTTATAATTATGGTAACTATACTTATAGCTACTTATAACCCCAATGAAGGTACTTTTAACGGTACTTACTAAGTCCCATGATCCTCCAAGTACACTCTGAGCCCTTCACCCTTCAGCCCTAGTCTGGTAGAACGCTCAGGGTTTAGGGGCTTAGGGTTTAGGGTTAAGGATTTAGGGTCTAGGGTTGAATTAGGGTTTAGGGTTTAGGGTTGCACCTACGCAGTCAACTCTACCGTGTTTGCTGCATGCTTGGTAGCGAGTAGCGAAAATCACTCTGGGACATAGGACTTGACATAGGATCCGTACACAAAGATCGTGAAACGCCTTCAGGTCCGTCAGCGTTTCTTGAATCCTTACTTTCCATTTCCCTAAAGGTATGGTTCGAACAGCATGTGGCACCTGTCTATGTTACTTTGGCAAGTGCAGCCCTGGTCTGCTTCCCTACCTACTGGGGGGGGGGGGGGGGGCAGGGGACTTAGTCAGTCGGTTATAAGTAGGGTTATAATTGGGGTAACTCCATTTAGGTTACTTATAACTCTACTTATAACCTACTTACTAAGTGCCCTGCCCCTCCAAGTAGAGTCTCCATTGTAGTTCCTTTTTTTGATTAACCAGTTTGATGGTCAGGACCCTATAATAGACATTTTTGTTAACCGAAAAAAGGAACGACAATGGAGACTATAGGTAAGGTTCAAAATGGCCCAAAGGCCTTGCATAGTAGGGTCTTTGGGCCCAAACGCCTTAACCCTGAGGGTCCATGTACCCAACGAGTATTTCGGCCTCAAAGTACTCCCTATATAGGTACATGTGGCCCAAAGTTTGTACGGTTTGGGCACATAGACCCTTAAACCCTATAAACCCTAAACCCCCTTATTAGAACCCTTAGTATTATAGGAACCAAAAACCTGATTATATACTAGGATGCCCAGTAGTACCCTTATTCCCTTTCTGTAGTCCTAGGTTCCCTATAAAGTTACCCAATACCAAAAAGAGAGCCTTGTTTATTCCTAGGTTACTGGGCATCCTACGGTTGATGATATAAATCCTGCATTACCTTAAGGACCCTAAACTATGGGAATTAAGGTATATTCCTTGGTATGGCTAATGCGGGATTTGGATCATCCACCGGAGTAATTATTAGTACCCTTCTTCCCTTATTGTAGTCCCAGATTCCCTATAAAGTTGCTTATTCCTAGGTTACTGGGCATCCTAGTATAAGTCCTTTGAAGCTTTCGGCCACGGAGGCTCCACCCTCTCCTCCGCGTAGATCCGAGGCTTCGGGTCGAATCTATGCTCCCAGAGACTCCAATATCTCTTAAGGAATACATAGGGTTCCTTTAAGGGATCTATAGGCTTAGGGTTTAGGGGATTCTAATATCTCTTAATTAAGGAATATTCCTTAAATTATAGTAGGATCCCTAATATGATTTAAGGAATATTCCTTAACTTATAATAGGATCCCTAACATGATTTAAGGAATATTCCTTAACTAAGGGGTATTGGAGTCTCTGGGCTGTCGGAGAGATTTCCCGAAGGCTCCATGTGCCTTTAGAGTAGATACGTAAGCCTTAAAGGGTCCCTATATAGGTACTTTAACGCCTACCTGAAAGACCAAATGACCCTTAAAAGTAGGGGCCATGTACCCATATACTATGAATCCCTATATGGTATATGAACCTTAAACCCTTTTAGGGTTCATTTCGTCCTTAAGATAAGTATATACAATAAGGGTACATGGAGCCTTATAGGGGGTTGGGCAGGTTCCTAAAAGGGAATCTAAGCCATCTACAGGTGGGTAGTTTTAAGGTGGGTAGTCTCCCATAAGCCTTCCATACCACTCCTATAAGGTAAAGGGGTCTTATGGGAGTACTATGGAAGAGGAACTACCCACCTGAAATGGGCTTCTAGCGAAGGGTCCATGTACGTCATAGAATGTAGGGGCTTTAATACTTGGAAGAGGATAGGGTTTTAGGGGCCCATTAAACAATGAATATGATAAGGAGCCACCGAAATAGTGTAGGTAGTTATATAGGCTTCTATATTGCTTACTTTGGCCTGAAAGTAGTCCCTAAACCCTACACATCCAAGTACACCACTATCCTAATGTGTATACATAAACATATACTATTTGGGCACATGGAGCCTTAGTATGCAGCGTAGGTCGTATGATGGAAGCCGCCCCAGAGTTTGGGGTTTAGGGTTTAGTGGTTTGTGTTTTGGAGATTAGTGTTTAGGAGTTCGGGCTTAGGGTTTGAGGTTTTAGGGTTTAAGAGTTTGGGTACCTGCCTACCCATCCCTGTAACTCCCCAAGGGTCCGAAGTACCCATATGGTAGAATGTAGGGTTCCTGTAATAGGATTTACTATGTTGATTTGTGGAAGTATCCCCCAGAACAGTACCTAGGACGGTGTGGGACTATCTTCCGTACATACCTGTGGCTGTTCAGTATTCCGGCTCCGAGAAGCTGGAGGTCCCTTCATAAGCTAGGGGTCCTTTAAAGGGATCCATAGGGGTTCCTCTACAGGGATCCATAGGGGTTCGTTTCAAGGGATCTATAAGGGTTTAGGGTTTGAGGGTTTAGGGTTTGAGGGTTTGGGGTTTAGGGGGTTTAGGGTTTAGGGGGTTTAGGGGTTTGTAAGCTTCAGGTATTCCAGACTTCTATATGGGTTTGGATCTTACGTGGGGATCTTCAGGTGGGGCTTTCGGTTTAGGGCTTATCCAGAGGGTGCATGTATACTACTATTTTGGAACTAGGCTCCCAAAACCATAATGGGAACAAGTCCCATAAAGTCTAGTATATGTGGACCCTCTGGGTTAGCGTTCTCCGAGCCACACCTGAAATTTGAAACGGCTCTAAAGCTTCAAACACATATCCCCCAAGCGAAGCGATTGCTGGGGAACCAAACAGAAGCACGAAACGGCTGGTAGAATGACTGAATTCGACAGAAAGGTACGCTCCGTAAATCAAGGAACCCTAATCTAGACCTTTGAGTAGTAAGATCACCTTACGGGTCCATGTACCCAAATACTAATACTTCGGCCCTCAAGAACCTATATGGGCACTACATGAAGGCCAAAGTGTGTACGATTTGGGCACATGGACCCTTAGGGGATCATGAAGAATCCTTATGATAAGGATCCTTGGAAGTCTATTCGGCATTCTACCGAAACCCTCCCTGACCCTTTTTCCCTAAACCCTATAAGCTAACTAAACCCAAGATTTTTCAACCCTAAACCCTAAAAGCCCTATAACCCTGTGGGTCTTTTTTGTCTCCCTATGGGGTCCAGGCTTGACAAGCGGGCCAAACTCCGGAGTAGCGACTGAAACGCATAACTTATAACCCTACAACCCTAAACCCTGCGACCCCACACCGGAACTAAATCGCCCCCTCGAGGCTCCGCCCTCTCCGCCGAAAATAGCCCAGGATCAGGCTCGAGTGTTTCCAACGTTCAGGGTTTCAGCGTGCAGGGTTTTGGGTTGAGGATTGAGGGTGTAGGGTGTATAGGTTTAGGGTTTAGGGTTCGGGGCCTGGTGGCTTAGTGTTCACCGTTACACTTAAATGTTGTTTGTATTATTGTATAGTAAGTATGCATGGGGTTACCCGTGAGCAATGCTGGTATTGATAGTGCCTGCTGGTAAGCAGGCGTATTCCGTCAGAAAGGAGCTCGTTTGCACAGTGCTGCGTTTCGTGGTTTCTACCCAGATTCAGTTCTGGCCTCGGACCGTCGGAGGTGTTCTAGAAATTCTTGTATTATAGATACCTAGCAGATCCTAATCCCATGAAGCTAGGTGCGCGAAAGAAGTGGGCAGCGTATGACCCTCTCGTCAAGGTAGTGCTGGAGATTGCTGGATGAGCATTCCGGGGGCGAATCCTCAACCCTCAAGCCCCGGAGCCTGATTTCCATCCTGTATCCTCAATCGTATAAATACTGAACCCCCGTGTTTTCGAAATCAGTTTTTCGGCAAGAGCAGGCTATGTTTGGCGCCAGCTTCAGACCAAGAAGCCCGTCAGCATGAGTAATTTAAAATCTAGAAATCTAGAGGTCGGAATATATATGCATGATTCTATCTGCTTACAGTCCCAGTATACAGTATAAGTGCATTATGACATACCCCCATACAATATTGTAGCGTTTCAGGCTCCTATATAACAGCCTCACCCTTCTTCCATTCTTTAAACCCGCAACAGGACCTAAATCTTAGACTAAACAAGCCGTACGAAATCGTGGAGCCCCAAATCCCGGACCCCGGAACCCTAAAACCGTGGAAGCACTATTCAGGTTTCGGTTCCCGGAGCACAAGATCCGCAGGGGATGGAGTACGCCCAATGGCATCACCGCCTTTCCATGGGCTGGGCGGACCACCAGTCGCATATGCAAGACGAATGCGGCTGGCGGAAAGATGACGCCGGAAGGTGGTGGAAAAAATGGGATGACGCGGACCACATCCCTGACGGCGCCAGTGCGATTTGATTGGGGTCGCAAACCGACGTACGATCCGACTGGAGATTCAGTGACGAAATTCAAGTATCGGACGACATTGGTGACAAGATGCGACGGAGAAGAAATTCTATGGGAAGAATTGGAGTTCTTCGAGTGCGCAGAAGAGTGGAAAGGAAGTGAAGAACACAGATCGAATTGGCCAAGGAGCACTCGGTAACCACAAGCGGCCCTAAAGTAACCACAAACCGCCCTAAAGGGTGTGCGCCCCTGAAAAAATTGGCAATAACAGTCCTTAGGGTTCCATTTGACATTCATTGTCTCTTGAAGGACCCCTCCCGAAAGTAGGTCTTATATGGAGACCTGGAGCCTTGGGTTGGGGATTTTGGCCTGATTGAGACCTTACACCTTTAGCCCCAAAAACTACAGACCCGAAGCCTTACAAACGATATTCAGCCAGCAGCCCCAAAGCGCAAAGCCTCGACGAAGCCTCTGTCGGAGGCTGTGGCACCGAGCAAGGACAACAAGCTGGCTTGGGACTGCGATTTAAAGGCATCATGTCCGTTTGTTTTTCAAGACAGGGTTTATGGATGGAGTGGAAGAATCATGGGGCTTAGGGTCTTATTGGGTTTAAAGGGAGTTGCTTTTAAACATAATGTTAGGGTTGCGCAGTTTAACAAGTAGGGGGTTTGGGGTTTTGTTGGGCTTATAGGGTTCTGGTATTGAAAAGAAGGTTTAGGGTTCACGGGTTTTGGGGGGTTGCGGTTTTTTTTTGGGGTTTTGGGATTCAGTCTTCAGGGCTGGGGTTGCGGGTTCAGGACTTAAGGGGCCTATTGGACCTAGATCCTAACATGTACTTCCGTTTTTGCCTGTTTTGGCCTCTCATTGCCAGAGGATCCTAACCGGAAGACATTGGTTTTTGTAGGGTCTGCGTCTAGCTTATACCTGATAGACCCGAAGCCGTGATCCCCAACCCCCAAGCCGCAGACCCTAAACCCTAAGCCCCAAAACTTAAGCCCCAAACCAAAAGCCCTAAGCCCCAGACCCTACACCCCAAGCCCCAAACCCAAAGCCCAACGTTTGCCCTACATCCTAAACCCTGAGACCGAAAGATCATGGCAGGCCTCGCCGGCTTTTGAGCTGGATCTGGGAAAGCTACTCATTTCCGGCAAAAGAACACTTTTGTTTTAACAACTTACACTTTTTGGGATAGGGGAGTAACTGAATCAGTATACTTTACACTTTTGCGGAAAGTGTTCAGGGTTGAATATGCTTTGCACTGTTTGGGCAAGGGTTTCGGATTTAGTACAGGTTGCACCTGTTGTGAGAGGGTTTAGGGTTCAGCATACTAAGTATACTGTACACCTTTCGGGATGGGGCTTACAGGCTTTAGCATTATTGTTTCGGAAGCCCTAAACCCTAAACCCTTAACCAAAGCCTCTAAACCCTAAATGCTATTAAACCCTAAGCGCTATACCCTTGACCAATGGGTCCAAGTATTTACTGACCATATACTGTCCCAAGTGTGAATCTACGTATCTACTATCCTAAACCCAAGTACCTCGTTATGGGATCATTTGCACCCCTAGGGCTGTAGCAAAACCCCCATGATACCCCTTTTTGTAATCCTTATAGAACCCGTTAAACAGGAACCCGTAAAGGAACCCCCATAGAAACCCTTCTTATTGGGTCATTTGGACCCTTGGGTTAGCCGTGGCGGGATTCCGAACTCGGCAACTCAGGCTGGATCCTCTCCCCTTCGCTCCCGACACGGCGGATCTCAAGAGCGAGGAGGGGTAAGCATGGAGGATCACGGGAATTAGTAAGGAAGTTATAAGTACCCTAATTGGGGTTATTAAGTAGTTACAAGTATAGTTACCCTACTTATAACCCTGGTTACTAAGTCCCATGATCCTTTAAGTGAGCATGGTGGGGCGTTCTTTGGGGTTGGGGTTTTGGGGTTTGGGTTTTTAGGGCTTCTGGGGTTTAGGGTGGGGTGGGTGGGCTTCGGGTTTACAGTGTGGGGAGAGTGAGGTTCACTATGCAGAGCTTACTTGCCAGGCATCGGGGAGTAGTTTGGAGCCTTGACTGCATTGATCTTGAAACTCATACAAGAAGGGTTGCATGGATTCAGGTTTTACGGTGCATAGTGTGGTTATGTTAAGTTCATGATATTTCCTTGATCGATTTCGGTATCAGGAGAAAGTCCGTCTGGGGGCAGATAGGACACCAAAGCCTAACGTAGACGCTCACGTCATGTGTCAACTCCCTTGCTGTGGCGGTCTTAAGGTTAGGATTGCCATTATAATCCCTTTCAAGGTTCCGGGTACATCAAGCACAGGTATGTAGCTCCGTCAGACCATCTCAGCTCTACGTTTTGCAAATCGCCCTACATGATGTAAGACTTTACGGGTTTAGGGCAAAGCCTATAAGAGTCATGGCATACCCAAAGCCCTATTCTAACCATTCCTAACGTAATCCTCCTTTACTTTACTCTCCAAACTCGAAGCTGCATACACCCGAATGCAACCCCTGAGTCTTATCCGTGCAGCCTGTACCCTGAGGCCTAAGCAAGATTGCTTGAGCCTCTAGAAACTTCTATCTATGCCTTTAAAAACTTCTCCAAAGTGTCCAAGTACCATTGTAGTGGGTGTTTTGGCCCCAAAAAGTATACACTATACCCTAAATCCTCAACTCTAAACCCCAAACCCTAAACCGGATCACTACTTGGACCCTTTGGGTTCACGCAACTTTGCAAGCCCGAACGTGAACATCAACTCTGCCTGGCACGACTCACCCGGACCGTCAATGGAGGAATATACACCTTAACTTTGGGATCCTGCTATAATCCCAAAGGGTCCTAGGTACTATTATGGGCGATACTTCCCAAATCATAAAAGTAATTCCTGTTATAGAAACCCTACATTCTCCGATGTAGGTACTTTGGACTCTTTGGGAATGTAACTGGAACTATATTCCTACTGTAACTTAAAGTAGTTTGGAAGATCTGGGCATTCTTGTAAAGGACGCGCGGCCAACCATCAGCTTCTTCGACATGCTGAAAGATCTGGATTAGGGTTTCGGCTCTCGGAATCTAGAGCTGAATGTTAAGCCCTCTTCATCCCTACACTCCTAAGAGCCTGTAAGCCGAAGACGCTGGTATGCATCAATAACCCTACATTAGGCCCTACATACCGTACCCAGGCTTGCAACAGGGATAAGATGATTGTTCTTTGAGGAAAAACGGTGTATACATCAGGGGTCGACATTAGCGCTGTTTCTTGGGTTCCTTGACATACTCATACATGAGATGCAGCATATACCCTGCCCCCCCACCCCCCCCCCCCTCCCTCTTCAGTGATTCGACTACTGTGCTTCTGTTCATCCCGAAAGCTCCAAGGCCCAAAACCCTTATGGAATTAGGTCCCAGAAGACAATCCCCACTATGGTTTTGGGGGCCTAATTCCATAATAGTAGTATACATGGACCCTCTGGGTCTAGGTTACCAGAATGCCCGGTAGTACCCTTATTCCCGTTTTGTAGTCCTAGGTTCCCTATAAAGTTACCCAATACCAAGAAGGGAGCCCTTTTTTATTGCGAAACTGCGCATCCTAGAGTATAGTAGGCTCCATAATATGACTAAGGTATATTCCTCAATTCCCTTATTATAGAACCCTTGTAGATCCCTTTGAGGCTAAATTAAAACCAAAGCCCCAAAAGCCCCAGACCCCTAAACCCTAAAACCCTAAACCCTAAACCCTAAACCCTAAACCCTAGACCCTAAACCCTAAACCCTAAACCCTAAACCCTTCCTTAATTCCCTTATTATAGAACCCTTTGTTAAGCAAACCCCAAGCCCTCGCAGAGGTTCGGATCGACAGTTTCTCGGTGCTAACATGGTTTGGGGTTTAGGTTTTAGGGTTTAGGGTTTAGGTTTTAGGGTTTAGGGTTGGGGTTTAGGTTTAGGGTTTAAGGTTTAGGGTTGAGGTTTAGGGCCAGAAGGGAGGGCTACAGAGCAGAGTTGCCAGTGCAGAGAAGCTGTTCGGAGTCTGTAGGACTTGCCTGGTTTTGGGTGTCCAGTACAGGGCCCCTGCTAGCGTTTACAGTGCAGGGTTTTTGTTTGGCCTATTGGGGGCCTTAAGCCACGAATATAAGGAAATCATAATACGGAACCCTAACGGTAGGTTCTTCCGGCTTAAGGGGTGGTTTAGGGTGGAGGCTCTAGAGTTCAGGGTCACTTTTGCGATCCTGACCCCATGGAACCCTACCTCAACCTACCAGTACCTACTTTCTTGTGGGGTTTCTATAAATCCCTGTAGCAATCCCATATTAATCAGGGCTGATAATACGAACCTACAAAAAAGGTAGGGTTTAGTAGGTCTAGGTAGTGGTTCTCCTTAGGAGATTCCGAAGATTGCCCTGGACAAGCAGGGTAGATCGGCGGAACGTGCAGAATGGGGTAACTTCGTGCGCGTCCTTTGCCAAGTGCGGAAGAAAAGAGTGGCCATGCTAGCCTTAGTAGATCTTACTGGTATAAGTTAGTTGTTAATGTAGTAGCACGTTTCGTAACCCTTTGTTTATATGATATACATTGATATAGAAGCCTGATCATTTAGTGATAGCACCCATTCCAGTCCCTGTGTAACCATACTACAACACAGCCCATGTTCATTAAGTTTAAGGCCCCATTCTTAGCCCTTGCAGTAGCCCTTAGAGTACTGCAAGTGGAAGCCAAAGCATTAATCTATAATTACACTCCTACAGCGAACCCCTAATTCCTGAGCTCAATAGCCTTAAATCCTAAGCTTGAAACCGAAAGCCATCATCAACCCTAAACCCGGAACCGTTTGACCCCTAAACCCCTAAACCACCAGCCCTAGACCTGGTCAACTACCCTCTAAAATACCTAAATACCCACTGAAAAGAGCCATCAATTCTCTGTTAAAGGGGTCTTGGGGGTCCCCGTAAACTGAAACCTTTACCCTAAGAGTCCAAGCACCCATTATCATGTACTCTCCAAAATAGTAACCTACATAACTACTATCCAAAACCGGAGTACCTGATTATTGGGTCCTTTGGACCCTTAGGGCTGTAGTAAACCCCCACGATACCCCTTATAGTTTGTAGAACCCTTTAAAAGGAACCCTTATAGAAGCCCTTGTTATTGGGTCCTGTGGATCCTTAGGGTTAGTATCAATTCCAGACCCAGGCTTCTTTGAGCCCTGCGTTTCTCAAAGCTCCTGCGGTGTCTGCGCTGCGTTATAATACATCAAATATCTTTGGGGTTTAGGGTGTATAGGGTTTGAGGATTACGGCTTGAAAGTTTCGAGTTTAGGTGTTCGTGACGGAGTTACTGTGCCATAGATGGGTACCATTATGCATTGTGTTTAGTACTTGAGCCCAAGTAGGAATAGAACTTTGGAAAGAACTTGATTTCCAATACTGTCCAAACCATGGACTAGCTTCGAATAAAAACCTTCTAGACATGTCTCGGACCTAATCTTCTCGTCTCTTATCGCTTCGAGTAGAGAACCCTGAGATGCAATAATGATCTAACAATACAAGCTTAAACCGTATTCGACACATTTTGGACCCTGTGTGGGATAAGTGTTTGGTGGTCCCTAAACCGTACTGTAGGCCCTATACGCCTTGAACCCTGGACACCAACTAAACTGTAACCCCTCATGCCTAAACAATAATAATGCTATCATGTAACAGGCATGTAAGATCTGTCCTCACAGTTCTTTCCTGAAATTTCGGATTAAAGCCAGCATGCCTGAACGCACCATTTAAGTATTAAGTACCCCTTGGAGAATTAGTCACAAACCAGAATAGGAACCCTGTTCGAACCCTTTGCCTTAAAGGAGCTTTGACAATCAACCCGTAAGACCTTAAATTAAACCATAAGCCCTACTAAACCCTAAAACCCTAAACCTTAACCCTAAAACTCGTAAGACAGACTGCCAGGGATCGCTGGATGGCCTGATTACCTGGCTAGCAGCCCAGTGCGCGTCTTTGCAACCGAGCTTGCCTTGAGGGCCCCTCAAGCAGTACTGCAGGGATCCTTTGAAAGGGTTCCTCTTAGGGTTTCTGTCAGGATTCGATTAGGGTTCTAATTTTTTGTACTTAGAGGTACAGGGACGTAGTAAGACGGGTATAGGTAGGGTTAGAATTGAGGTAACTCCATTTAGGGTACAGATAACTCTACTTAAAACCTACTCACTAAGTCCCCTGGGCCTCTAAGCAGTGCAGGGCTGACAGGGTTTAGGGTTTAGGGGTGCTGGCAGGATGTTGGGCATAGGATGCTGAACGGGTGTAGGGTGTAGTGCCCTGAGTGCAGCGATACTCGGGTTTTGGGGGTGTAGAGCTCCTCGTGCAGGGCTGAACGCGTTTAGGGCTTAGGGCCCCTACTTGCAGGATCATGGGACTTAGTAAGTAGGGTTATAAGTAAGGTAACTATAGTTATATCTACTTATAACCCTAATTCAGGTACTTATAGCCCTACTTACTAAGTCTAAGTCCCATGATCTTTTAAGTATAGTGCAGGGCAGGGCTGAGAGGATTTAGGGTTTAGTTAGGGCCCCTGGTACAGGGCTGACGGGGTTTGGGGCTTTCTGGTACAGAACTGATATAGGGTTTAGGGTTTAGGGTTTAGGGTTTAGGGTTCTGGGCCCCAGGTACAAGGGTGATAGGGTTTAGGGTTTCCTGGCACAGGGCTGGCCGGATTTAGGTCAGGAATTCTTGCAATGCCTAAGCCCGAAGCCCTAAACCCCTATGTGGCACAAGCCGCACCTGAACCGAGGTTTGAGATCTGGTTCAGTGCCTGTCACAAGCCTATCTCCTTCTGCACAGGACCGGAGCCGGGTGCTGAGCTCCGTTTGTTGGATTTAGGGTTCAGGGCCGTGAGCCCAAAATCCTGCTAAATCCGAGCCCTACTCTAAGCCCGAAATTAAGCTCTACCTGGAGCCTAAGAAACTACCCTTTAGAGTTCCTTAATATAGCTTCTTTATATAAGTCCTTAAAGAGGTAGGCCGTTCGGGTTTAACGTAAGCCCTAGGCCACCGATGTTTCGGATTCAGGCGCGAGGTTCGAGGGCTTCCGGCTTCCGAATGGAAATTTAGAGTTGCATGGCCAGAGTGACAGGCCGTCCTTTCAATCCAAAATACTAAAGACTCCCCTAGGGTATGCACATGTATGCACTTCTTGGGGTACTTTCAATGAAGCCTTCATCTTGGCTACTTGAGTCCCTAAGAGGCAGCTGAAATTATCATGGTTGCAGGGGTCCCAATGGTCAGTATACTGTTGATGATAAAAAATCCTGCATTATCTTAAGGATTCTAAACTATGGGAATCATGGTATATCCCTCATTCTGGGCAAAAGATTTATTTCATCAACCGTAGTGGTCTGCACTTGACATGTCGGCGATTACCCATAAGGATGAGCAGCACTCCACGGCGGTGTTTCTTTGTTGTAGAGCAGGCGCTTACTCTAGGGATCTAAGGACTCATATATTAAGGCTTTTGGGCCCAAAGACCATACTATTACTATACCAGGCGTTTGGGCTATTTTTATCCAGAGGGTTATCGCTTATCCTAAGGGTCCAAGTACCTAATGATCATATACTCTCCACAATAGTAAACTACAAAACTACTAAGTTACTATCCGGACCCTAAGTACCTGATTATTGGGTCCTGTGGACCCTTAGGGTTATAGGGTCGATATCATAAACGTTTGCAACCCCACAGGTTAACCTTAGCTCCTCTAGGACACTTGACAAGTTGGCCAGGATAAGTTCATGACGAAGCACAATGTTCAGCCTGCATCCCAAAGGCTCCATGTACCTTTAGAGTAGATACTTAGGCCTTAAAGGGATCCCTGTACCGGTACTTTTAGGCCTAAGTATATACTATATGGGTGCATGGAGCCTTAGGGCAACCGGCCAAACCTCAAATAGGTACATCGCGTGAAAGCAAAAGCCGTGCACAATGAGATCAACCAGTCGATGAACGACGGACCGTTTCAAACACGATATCCAACATACACTTCTTCAAAGGCCACATACATGCTTATGAAGC